CACCACGATCACCTGGCATCCCATGAACTCGGTGAATACAGTCATGAGTTGATCAATTATAAACAATTCATTTTTCAAGTCATGTTCAACATTGCAAACGTCTTTTGGTTACTTTCATAAACTTAAATTGAAATAAAACTTCTGTAAACAAATGAAATAAACACGTAACATTTACATTAAAATGAAACGTGAAAAATGGAACACGAACAAGAAAACTAAATTTGTGTCATTGACATTGCAAAATATATATATATATATCTGTATGTATATGTATATTTACCCAAGGTGTCAATGTAATTGGCCAAGTTAAAACTGCAATCAATTCACTCTAGATCCACAACTAAAGCTTTTTCCATCCACCAATCAATTGGCAGCAGCACCACCTACCTTCTCTAGTTTAACCACCTTTCCTTCTCTAAAACAATTAACTTAATTCATTGCGCCTATGATTATACGTCCACTGGTGTGCAAATTGAGCTAACGCACGCTTCCTTTCATACGCTACAAATTTGTTGAGATGACCTTGATTCAGTGAGAGTAGAAACAGAAGCTATTTGCTTGACTCGACTTAGCTCAACAGCTCGAAAATGTCCAACAAAAGCTACCAAGGATTAATCCAACAGGTGCTCCTGAACGCCCTCTTTCTTCGAGTAGCTGCCGCATTAATTATGGCTGCAGGAATCGCGGGCATAATTAGTGGAACGGTGTTATGTCGTGGAAACACCATTGAGATTTTTAAGGGCTTGAGTGTACAAGGTATTTATGTGTAAGTTGAGGACTTGTCCTTTGTATACTTAAGTGGTTGTCAGTAGAGATAATACACGAATGACTTGCCTATGTCTTAGCTGAAATTAGCTCAGCTAAGAAAAATTAGTCTATTTGAAATCTAGTCTATGGATTTCAAGACAATTGAAGTTAGGGTGTTTTCTAAATGTAAGTTTTATTACGTTTAATTAAAAACCAGCATGTCTTAGAGTTAAATTATAATACCTAGCATTGTGCGAATTCTTATTTACTGCTTAAATTAATTTATTATCTTTTCAAACTATAAATTCCACGTATGACATTAAGTTGCGAATATCAAAACTGTAGCCTCAATACTAACTCACATATTTGCCAATAGTGTATTCTGTAATCTTGAATAGCATCTGCTATAAAACTGCAGTGATATCCTCCATTAAGTCCCTTTGCTTCGATTTCGCAAATTTCCACGCCGTTTTGTAAACAACTCACCTCGCCCTCATCCCCCCCCCCCAATCCCCACCACAACCATCTTCTTTCGATTGATTGATTTTTTTCTCTCCCTCCAACACCTGCATTTTGAGATATTTCTCTTCAACCTTGGTCCATCTTTTTTATTACTAGTTAGAGAACCCTCACACTCTTACCCGAATCAGTGCCTTCTTCTCAACACTGCTTTGAGGTTAGCTTGTGAGAATCTGAAGAACCATTGTTACTATTAATTGCTCCCTATTGACGATCTGGCTTGAGCAGCACTCACTAAGACTAAGAAAAAGACAGTATGACAGATCTCTAAAGAAACCGGAATTGACAAGATTACACTATTCCATATTACCCTTTTTCGCTGATCTGAAGCATTCCGCTTCATAGTACTTTATCTTGCATAACTTGGCGTATTCCGATTGGTCCCATGTTTTCTGACACTTGGATGTAGTGGGATTGGTATTAAAGAGGTGAATCTTTGAATCATAGAATAAACGGTTAGTAATCAAATACTGGAAACCTCATTTTTCACTTCCCACATTAACATATTCCCCAAACGATCAAAACTTGCCCGCGAATTCTTCTGCCCTATGGACATTAAAAATGTACCTCGTTGAGATCAAACGAGTATTGAGTATGGATCCATTGTTGTGAGGCGGCCATTGAGATGATTTCGGTTTAGTTAGCTACTGAAATATTTTACGTAGTATTTGTCAACTGAGTTTCATCGAAGCGATTTGCTGATTTTAGAGAAATGGGCGTGCCGGTGATAATAGTCAGTGTATTTGTGCTCATTGTTGGAATGTCCATTGCAACCGTAACATGCGTAATTTCACGCAAATTCGAACCCGTATATCAGGTAAATTTCCCCATAACAAAGCAATCTATCTATGCTCCATTTCATACATAACAGATGATAACAAATTAACAACTTTTTGTCATTTAGACATTCTACAGACGTCCGGAATATATTTAGAATAAAGGATACTATTCATGCGCTCAGCGTGTTTATTTCATCATTCGACCAAAGTGACATTTACATGCGTACATCTTTTGCTGCAGCAATTAATCTATTTATGGTAAATAATTTAGTTATTTTAAAATAAATTGCAAATGTTTATGGCCTTCACGTTTTGAAAATCTCAGATGAAAATAAAGGGTTTGATTAATGTAATGCTAGATAGAAAAACAAGTGGTATTTATTACAGTATTGGAGTTTTAGAGATTATTTTCCTCATATCACCAGCCGTATGTCCAACCCACAATTAACGTATTTGAAAAGGTCTAATTGGCCTAACTTGAATTGTAGAAAAGGGCGAACATGTGAGGAAGAAGCTACAAGTCATTTAATCATAAAAACATGGTGGAAATATCTCGGAATTGGAATGGGCTTCAAAGTAATTGCAACGCTGGCGGTTCGAGCTTAGTGGATCGATAAATTTTGAAGGAAGGGGGGGGGGGGGGGGACTGAAATGTAATTCGTGTATACTTACAGGTACAAGCGATAAACCAAATTCGCTTTAATTAAATTTGCGGCTAAGGCATCAAATGATTAATAAGGCAAATTTTGTTGCTTAAATAAGCGGACAAACGGAATGACTTTATTGAATTAAACTCTCTCAAGAATATTTATTTACTTCCCTAATTCTCTAGTTTAAATTATGGTTCCTCAAAAATCATCTTGAAGTAAAAAGGAGCATTTTTAGCTGGCGCTTTTTCCAAAATAATCAAACAAACCTTGACTAAATCCTAGCTATCTATTCTGGCTAAATCTCATTTAATGCAAACAAAAATCAATGTAGCTAGTCGTACCCAACATTAACGAAGGGAAGGGAGATCAAAGTGAGTAGTGTTTACAACACTGATCAATCAATGACACAAGGCCAGTCTCTAAAGTATAATTTGTGATTGCGATGGCTAACGATTTTTGGTTGGTTCGCTTAGCGATCAATAGCACGATTGCGCCTTCCAGACTGTTCAAGTGCTCATGAGATGCCTTTGTTAAGACTTGGTAGCGTTGATCTCCCCATATGGGTACTAATTTCGCAGCTGTAACTGGATTATACTAGGGTTTGGCTTAAATGAGATCAACCCAAGTGCAATGAGGTTGTCTTGATTCTTAATTTCAAGTGACTGAAATGACCTTTGATATAGTTTAAATGCAATTGAACGATTGAAAGTTAGGCCTGGAAAAAAGACTCTGTATAGAGTAGGACACTTATGATTCACTACTTATCTATAGTCTTGAACTTTTAAGCATACGTGAACAAACAAGACTATAGTGACACTTAAATTGAAGGAGGATGAATGAGATTTGATAGGAGCTATAGAAAGAAATCAATGTGAGGAGAAAGAAAGTAGGTTAATCTAAATTCTTGTTTCGTCAATTTTTGAGATTTGTGCATTAAACACCTTAGTATTTTCACCATTTGAATACTTTCGTATGAATCGGAACCCAAAATAAGATAGTTTGGCTACACATTGTAAAGTTTTGTATACAGATAATTAACTTATCCTAAACTTTAAACCCATTTAAATTAAACGTATCAGTATGTGGTACAACCTAAATGAGAATAAATTTTGAGCTTTTATCAAAATTTAAAAAGCCGATGTGATACCATGGCAGCGGAGTAACCAGGATGTTGCTGGCCAATGGCTGGGCTCAGAGTCTGGTTGTTAATGGCAACTAGTCCCAAGTAGCAGATTGGGTCAAGTTGGCTCAGTATATTGACGCAAGGTTCTGCAGCAAGTAAGGCTAGTTAAATTGAACTATTTCTAAACTTCCGAAGTTAAAATTGAACAACTAATTTAGTGATTAATTAAAAACAATATAGTAAAACTAAAAACCATCAATGAGATTTGAGGTGATTTCGCGACGATCCCATTACTTACGCTAGAATTTTTGCATAAGTTGTGCTTCAAAAGATTTATACTTAATTTAAAAAGAAATCGGTTGAATTTCACTTTTTTAACAAATTTCAACGAGACATTTTCTAAGAGTATATTTCACGCCGCCTACTTGAAGTCTTTAAAGATTTATATTTGTTTTAATGTGCTTGAGTTATTTCCATTTCTCATTCAATATTACTTAATTTGTAGGCACTTCGATAGCAGAAAGATAAATATTTTCAGCTATTTAGTTTTTACCTTCCTTCAAATCTAGACTATATTAATATGCATAAGGTCTTATTAAATTGATCTTACTTTATAATTACATGCTAGGATGCAATTCGCAATCTACTTAATTTCGATAGGTAACCACTGTCCTTTTGCTTCTTTGTTTCTTGAATGCTAATAGCCACCACGGTAATTTTCAAGCCCATGCTCATTTTTTTTTATGCACAACGTTGTTATGACTGAGCAAAGTAGCCTCATACTACTTGCCGAGTAGGGAGCGTCTGTTTTAGTGAGGGCTGAGATCTCCCAACCAACCACTTATCAATAGTCCTTGCACTGCTTAACAAGCCCTTCATTGTATCGCAATGACTAAGTTCTTTGGCAGACACAAATCTTTAATAAACGTGTTTCACGCTGAACGTCTATTTTCCCTAAATTGTTGAGAGGATCTTGCCATAGAGATTACTGAAGATAATGACATGCCTTATTCGTGTATCAATCCCCTACAAACTCGAGTTATGCCAATCTCTTCAATACCAACTCGTAACCAGCACGGTCGGTTATTCCGCTCACTGGGTGTGAACGAATATTTTGGTTGAAGATATCATAAATTTATTAATGAACAGCGATAAAACTGTTACTTTCTTTTTCTTTAATAGAAGCTAGTTATCATGGTATTTGGCAGTGCAATCAGTACATTCTCCCGAGATAATGCACTTTGTTGCCAAATTTCGTCCGGGATCTGCTTTCTTCTCTCTCTGAGTCTCATCCTAGGCGGCTCGATCATGACGCAAAAATATAGCTACAGTCTTCTATGGTGAGTTTTAATGCTATCATTGTTCTCTACTTAACAATTAATAAGTAGAGCATTTTTTATGAACTGTGTTTTGTTAGGCAGATAGTAACTCTTGCATGATTTAAAATTCTTTTCTTTTGATTTTCCAGTAATCCCCATAGTCCTTGGTCAGCTTGTGATGATTATGAAGATGATCAAAAGTAAATTTGAAGGGCTTTCTATTCATTGCTATAAATGATCGTTGTTTGTAACATTTGGAGTGCTGATAAAAACTTGCAACTTGAAATATTTTGACTCAGCGTTTATATTTCTCTTTTAGACTTTTTGCAATTGGGGTAGCTTTAATCATTTTCGGGTGCATATCAGTGACAGTAGTTTCAATTATGCAGTGCTCTGCCTGTGGATTTGCGGCCTTTCGCGGTTTCACTGATAAACCAACAAGCGCAGTAAATCAGCCATCGCAGTCACACTTGGTGAGTCAGAAATCGTACATACTTCCTCGGTTGTGCTACTTCTAAGATCATTCGAATGTGACCGCTCACTTTATTCCAATTTTTGCTTTCCTAATTCTCACACCGTTTTTTTAGAATGAGTTATATTTCAATTAGATTCTAAATTACTTTGACCATAACCACGATATGAACAAAATATATTCGACAATTTATAAGTTATTTAGAATCGATTATTTAGAATAATAAAAATAAAAGAATACTGATGACCTCCTAAGTCCTTGAGAAAAGACTGGTAATCAATTAGAAATTTTTTCGATAAAGCTAACTTACTTCAAAATACATAACTGTCATGGAAAGACTAGGCTCGTCATTTACCCAATACCCAAACTTTTGCAAGATATTTGTTACTTCTACGGCTTTTACTGCTTGAGTTGGCTTAGGTGAGATCATTTTGCTTAAACAGAGCACCCAAATGCCTATGGGCTCCTACACCAACACCTCGTTCTTGCAACAGAGCTATATTTCCGAAAGACCTCCAATTACACCATCTCCTTACCCTACGAGCCAATCACATCCTCAACCCTGTGCCGATTACTCCTTACCATTCGCCCCCTACCTCCATCCTGAAATGGCCACTCTACCACCACCAATGTCTAGTATGCCTCCGCCCTCAGCACCCCATTCTGCTCTTCCTCCACCATACCATCAATGTGTGAATCAACCAACACAAGTAAACTTGGAGAAATAACGAAAGGAACTGTTTCCAACATTGGCACTTATTTGCTTTAACGTTGTTGATTTCGCTTAATAATGACATGGAACAAAAATTTAACAATCATCACCTATTTTTGTTCTATAAAGCAAATGACACGAGTTAAAGGATGAATATCGAAATGGTCTCTGTTCTGTAATTTTGCCTCTGCCAACGAAATGGAAACAGGAGGCATTTCCATCATTGCCTCGTTATTTCGTATATCTATTTACAATGATGACGTCGCTTTTAAGTACGAAATTAGTTTATTATTTACCAACAAGAGTACCATAATAGGAAATTAATACTGAATTGAACTATCCAGCCTGAAGCAGAACTGGAAATGGCTTTGAAATAGTTTTCGCCTTGAATAATTCTGTTTTCTTCCTGATTTCGTATTAGCTCAGCACTCAGCTAGCTAGATGCTCCAAATAACCACTCTATCCTCAGTTCTATTTACTGCAACATTGGTAGCAAGTATTCGAAGTAAACGTCAAGGCCGAGTGCTTGATAAAGGTAACGAAAGGAACACTTTTAAGATTTCGCTCTTGAGAAGAGAAAGATTTATGTATAACTCGATTTGCAATATATGTCACCTAGCCTACAGGGTCAGTAATGGAGAAAATACTTTCGATTGCAGCATATTTTGAAAGATATTAAATGAAAGTGGCAAGATATGTGCGTTTGCAGTAGTTTCAAGTTTCTCACTCTAGCATTTCATTCATACTTAATTGCAAGAGAAGGCAAAATTAATGAAATTTTCTAGCAGTTTCATCCGCTTTATTTGCTGAGTTGGTTTTCTCTTAATGCCAGCAGTGCACTAAATAAGAGCATTCAACTTTGAGCGGAAGCAAGTTGGAGATAACCTCGCGGAAATACAAAATTAAGTTGGTTGCTTCAAAGGTTACACGAGGGCAGGCAAAAATACTGCAGTGGTTAGCACTTGTTAAATTAACCCAGAGCTTCTTTGGCTATTTATTCCATGCATCAATTAAAAAAGGTGCAATTTGCATTATGTCAATGCATCTGACCTAATAGATCTGTGAGATATTTCGGCATAGACTAGGAGAGAGGCATCAGGTATTAATAGAACATAAAATTAGATCTGCAAAAAAAGGTTGCAGAATTTGACATTTAAATTCAGCATGTACGTCTTGGATGCAGTTAACTACTACTTATTCAAATGCAGTCATTATCAGTAGTTTTCTCAATGAAATTTTGTTCACAGCGCAAAAAGTCTACTGGCTAGTTAATATAAGTAAGGGTGAACTGCATACAAAGGGTGGAAAATGTTTTATCACTAGGTGGCACTTGGACAATTCCCTGTAATTCTCATTGTGGGTCATATACTAAGAGCTTTATTAAGATAGGACATTGTGAGACTCTGAATTTGAGGAACCTTTTGCAACAATAAATTATATGGCTGCTTATCGGTGCGAGGAACAACGACAACAACAACAATAGTAATTCAACTACGTTATTGTGCTAACTATCTGTGAGTCCATTCACTGAGGGCCACACATTTCTTACTACGCACATAGCAAAAAGAGAAAGGTGAAATTGATTACACTTTCTTTGCGCACTGCAGCAAAACGAAATTTGATTTTGTTTATAACGTAGTGACGTAAAAGTTTGACAAAAAGGCAGTTTTCTTGCAACATTTGCAAAAACAATACTTGTTCTAATATCGTAAATAATCTGTTAATCAATGCATTTGTCATTACACATTTTCGCATCACAATTTGATACCAGAATGCACCAAAATCAAGAAAAACATTTTTATTCGGAAACTTAAGACATCAAAATTAAGATATGTTTGCCTTTTAACTGAAATTCTTACATTCGAATACGGCTTGAGGAACGACCATTGTATGTGAAATTTGAAGTCCTTAGTTGTACAACCGTCACGTGACTGTTGACAGGCACAACGATAAAGTGGTAAAAAGTCATGTCAAATTATAAATAGCAAATCTCAGTTAATTCCAACACATCATGCCAACTGCTTTTTAACAAGGAGAATAGAGGTGGCAGAATCCATCCCCGGAATTTTAAAAGAACTTCAAATGTCTAACAATGACCAAGAGACTGGATAGGGATCACATCGACAAAGCTAATTGGATAAGTGAAAATTTGAACTGTCAAACTCTAGACCAATAATAAAGATCACTTTATGTGCCTTTGTTTGCTTGTGGTCTATGGGATTGTTGATAGTCGGATATCTTTGAAGGAACTCTTAATAAAACGGTGTAAAATAATGATATCACCTTACGGCAGTTAGGTAATGAATGCCAATGAAGGAACATCGTTCCGGATGACACAGTGATGAATCAACAGAATCCCTGTGAACATAATTATGTCAGAAGAATCATACAAAGAAAAGAAATCGAATCACTGCGAACTAAGCTATTGCAGAGATTTTCCTTACAGAAACAATTCTTGTAACGTCTTCGGTAAGATGTGAAGAGCCATTTAAGCAGAAACATAATTCTGGCTGCACGAAAACAAGTTTTCTACTGGTCTGAAAGCAGATCCTGAGGATAATCAACAGCTTCTTGCTAAAGGAATAAAAATAAATGAGTTGAATGATTAGGAGCAAATAGTTTAGAGACGGTACTCGGAGCCCGCTTAGTTTTTAATAGTCAGTATAAACTGGAGCCCATTTCAATCGATCACCAGCGTCGATGAATCAGCTTCAAGTTCGAGAAGTCATAATCTCATTGCTCAAGTAGACCACCCCAGGCTCACCCACCTGTATTTTGGTGAAGAACATCATCAATAGCTCACTTTAACTGCTATCATACCATTGGTTGATGTAAATATTTCTCCTTAACGTTAAAAAATTCTGTTTTGATACTCCAATAAAGAAATCGATCCGCTTACCTCACCTGTGTGCAGTGAGGTCAATAAATAGAAAGCACCATTCTGCCACCCTTGTAAAGTTGAAATTTTCGTGTAATTTCAACCCAATAATTTAGCCTAACTAATTACTGTTAGGATGTCTCATCACTGACTATTTGCTCTTTAGCCATAGTTTATTTATTTATTTCAAATGGCATGCGTTTTGATAGTAAGCATTAGCCCTTTAGCTTACCTTGGGTTTTACAGAGAAGAAGAGGAACATCAAAGTCGAGAGAGGGAACAGTAGAGCGATTCACAGATGTTAAGGAGACAGACAGACCCAAAGGTAGAAAAAGATGAGGTGAATACTGTGGAAGGTGTCGAATATGACATACAGTGGTATGATGATAGTTTGAAGTCAACTACCGGTTTATAGACTTTCTTGCCGTATGAGTATACGTTGCCCAGGAGGTATGTCTATCGCACATCCCTAGTCACAGTTTAGGGAGTACAAAAGACTTAGTACATATAATCGATTGGATATATCTTGTCAGTTTGATAAACCATGGAAATGTATGTAGGTTTTCAAGCCCCATTTTGTAGGAGATCTATAGGAGAGACAAATTGGCCTCATGCAAATTCAAGTAAAGAACGTGTTAGAACCGAAAGAACCATTTACAAGCGACCATAACAGGTTTCCTCACGTGAAGATCAGTGAGTTGCTGCAACTATCAATGAATGAGTTAATGTTGTACGCAAAAGTTTCGTGGTAAAAAACTTATGGCTCACCCCGTGAGACAGTTTGCATTATGCGCATATAAACAAGTCGCTTTTACTTCAACTAAATGGTTCGTTTTGTGGCTTTCCTGATGTTGAAAATCAAGAAGTTAAGCAACAATAATTAAAGAAACAAATTAATGGAGAAAACTAGATCTGTTAGGGATTCCAGTTTAGGCCAAATAGAAAGCGATTAGTGAGAAACGTTATTAATTCTACCGTTGCCATCGATCTCAGAACCTGTTCCCCCCCCCCCCCCCCCCACTAATCAACTATCTAAAATTGTTTAATTTACTCCGAATAAAAATATATTACCACAGCTTTCACAAAATTTGTCAAAATTGATGAGACTAGGGCTAAAAAATGATAAGATTAACCGATTTTCCAAGAGAGACTTCTTGAAAGCTGTAGCTTCACCATCAGAACATTAAATGAAAATTATTTAAATAATTGAACCCTTTTGCAAGGACGTAAAAGATAGAAGACCACCTCAAAGGTAAAAACGCCGACATTAGGTAAATTAGACATGACTAAGCAAGTATGCAGAAATCTTGAACAGGTTTTATTACTCATTTTCAAGCAGAATAAAGTCCGATTAAGCCTGCTATAAACCTAAGGTAAAGTCAGAGTGAACTGGAGTACAAAAAGCAAAATGAGTCGAAAAAGTTTTAAAGGCAATAGATTAATAATTTCAGTAAGAACAAACTCGGCAAATCATATAAGATCAATGAATTCATATAAAGAAATACATTCAGAATCGTACTTACAACGAGGTTAAACTCATAAGCCCCATGATGAAGAATGTGCTCTACCAATTTACAAAGCCTTAATACTAAAAAGAGTCACATAAGTGGCCTAAAAAGGCAAAATGACAAAAATATTATCAACGACAGAAGCGAATTTCTGGACAGATGTTAAAGAATAAAAAAGAATAGGAATTTGAAAGGAAAATTGCTTTACAAATAAGAACGAAATTCTCGTAAAAATATGCATAAAACGGTGGAATAAGACAAAACCTATATTCAGTAAACCAAAAAAGTCATTAACAACAAGATGAAACCCGTTTATTAATAAGCAGAACTGTAAGAAAATTTGCAAAGCAAAATATAAATAAAAAAGTTGGAATGGAAGAGGAATGATTAGCTAGGCATTTGTAAATAAAAAGTCAGATAAAGGAGTTTGGAATGATGCAAAGTTTCGAAATCGGAAATAAGATCAAATAGACTTCAAAAATTAAACTCAGGAAGAAGATTGTGAATGTCAAAATGAAATGGCGCACAAAGGAGCAAATTTAAAAATTTACCCCGTGAAATGGAGAAAAGACTCTAGGCATGAGTCCTCAATTGCATTTTCGAACTCATCATAACCCTACAACAATTTAAATTCGTCTTGATCAAATAAATACTGAACTTACGCCCAAATATTCATCTCCATAAAATAACTGTGGTGGCAAAAATGGTTCTTTCTTATTGTTCGACATCATTGAAGCCTGCATTTTATTTTTCGCCTCCACATCTGCAGAGATATCAATTGATTTGAATGGAATCTTTTTCGACTGAAGAACATCTTCAATGCGTTTTTGATGAGTGCGAATCTAAACAAAATCATTAAAATAAATGCGGAAAACTACCAAATTGTTCCCACTAACGGTAGATACATATAGAAGCAGAGTCATAACTAAGACGTTAATGAGAATACGAGCTATTATAGACTTACAAAAAATTAAAACCAATTAAAAACGATGACCTTATTATGAGCATAATAGATACCGTAATTATTCACACATAAACGAAAGAATTGAATTTGACTTTATGAAAATAATATAATATTAGAGTTTAAATGGTGTTGAAAATATCAAGTTTCATTTCTGGAAAGCAATTCATGAACGGATCCCTAATGTTTCGGTCTCCATAATAAAAATATATATGTAAAATTGAGTATTAAGTGATCCATTTTCCGTTATATACACTCTTATAAAATGTATTCTCATTGAGTAATGAATTTTTTTAGCATTTTAGGAACCGAATAATTACCCTTCTTTTAACAGCATTTTTTCTGACTAAAATAATAACTGACCGAATTAATATACACCTTTCTACCAAAAAAATTAATAATACTTTAATCTTAGAAGTTTTAACATCAATGTCTTAAAAATTATATGGAGGATGTATATAATTATTGACTCAGCTTTTGTAAGAGTACTTTAGTTCAGTTTACATTTGTGCGAAACGTTTGAATTGTGTTTTTTGCTCGTATTAGAACGTAATTGAGTTTGACGCGATTGAATTACGGATATACCTCTACTCCAATTCTAGCATATGGGTACCCTTCTTGGGGATTTTGTTGGACAATTACACGTATGATTTGTTGATTCGGTGACTTTGCCAGATCATCAACGTGCCGTCGAAATGAGGTCTCCCTGCAGTTACCCTCTTAGATTTTACCTTGCCCTAATTTTTTAGATAAAGTCCTTATTTAAATCAAACAAATGTAATAATTCTCAAGTCTCCTAATTTTGGCATCAAGTGAACCAATTTTCACACTTCCTTTGGTGTGCCTTTATCTTTTAAATCGAATTTCGACTTTTACCGTGGTCCTGCTTGAACATGACATGCATCACTCATCTAGTATCTAGATTACATGGATAGGTTAGGTGGGCAATCAAAATGACATGTCCGGATAATTATTAGCTCTTAATTGATTTTTCTAAGCATTATGCACTAGTGCTGAAAATTCATCGAAACCCATAATGATTTGAAGGAACTACGACTATTTATAAATAATCAATCCCAAATGTCTTCACATGCAACACCGGGGAAAAGAAGCCTCATACAATTAATAATTAACTATAGGGGGGGGGGGGTGGAGGGGTTAGCGGGAATTTGAATGCAACTAATGTTTCGAATGTCGAGTATATGTACACAGCCATAAGTGGCTCGAGCAAATTGTTTTGCAAGTGAAAAGTCAAGCTGAATAAAGGGAAGGAAGAGGGCTTTAAGGTTGAAGGCATCCAAACTCATTCTGTGTAATCATCGACAAGTCTTTCATGAGACCGTCTAAATTTGCAATTTCTTGAGTGAGTTCCTCAGTGCTAATGGCCTTCTATAATCAGGAAAATTACGCTCAGTCATAAATTAATGGTAAAACTTAAGTAACAACATAAAGATTCCTGCCATACATTTATATCACTTTTCTCAACACCTGTTGATTGTGATTCACTGGGTCTATTGGAAACATCTTTTCGTGCTGGAAGTGAATTATAGGCACCTCGTGTTTGAGGCTGTAAGTGTTGCATTTGGTGTTGAAGATGGTGACCCTGGTGGCTGGACATATTTGAATTTGAATTTGAACAGGATGATACAGTAGAAACAGTTGAGAATTCCGCTGGATTCACACCAACATTGTTTGCAACTGTTGCACGGGTGGCCGAAGTCATCTCAAGAGCTAAGCATGAAGGAAAACCTAATTATTGCAACTGAGTTTTATAATATAGTTTTCATTTATCTTAAAAAGTACTTTAACTCACCCGAACTGCTTTCAGAGATGAGATCAGAAGCATTAACAGATGGAGTATTTGGTGCAATATGGCCTCGATTTATTGGTAGACCGGGATATTGAAGATAAGTCCCTTCGTTTTCTGAAAGTTATTAGTGAGAATATCCAGTTAGCGCTCACATGTACGTTAATGATTTCTATCTGTGGCAAGATTATATGAGTTGATCTACAGAATTCAAATCAATGGGGTAACGGATAGAGCACCTCATACTTATATATTATACTCGCAATAGTTGCCTTTTAAGCAAACTAGTTACAACATTTAAACAGCAGTTGCTTACCCCCTGCACTCAGATCGATACGAGGACCACCGACATTGCTTGGAGTGAAGAGGGGAAAAGCAACGGATGAGGGGTGAGGGGGAACAGGAGGTGGATTTTGACCTGGTCCTCCTCGCATGTAGGCCGGAGGGGGGTACATGCCTACCCCACCACCTGCAATTGCATTCTGATGGTGCTGATGATAATAGGCCTGAGCGAATGTGCCCAATTGTGGCTGTGCTGAGGGATAGATACCATAAGGAGGCACCGATGTAGTCTACAATGAAGACAAATAACATACGTCAGTTCGAACGACAATGATTGGCCATGTCCTCTTTAAAACTCCGTATAAAAATTCCATATATCTGCATGATCAATGACGAGTTGCATATTTGGATGAAGATTTTATTTAAAAAAGAGCTCAGATAATGCAAATAGGCTAATAAATAAATAAATAGGGAAATGCACTTCAAATATCTATCTCAATAATTAACGATAAAAAGTGAAACAAATTTCAAAAAATTTTAGAAACACTCGTCAGCTGTCTCAAACTCCACTATAATTTACCGGACTAATTAGTGGATTTCCAGTAGGACTAACGTAAGTTGGGTTTGTTTTAGCTCCAGTCGTAGGAAGAAGGGATATGGCAGAACTTGCAGAACTCCCAGTAGCTCCTCTACTCGCAGCATCACTGCCACATCCACTCATCGGATCAATAGCCGATCGAATCCCCATCATAGGAACTGGATTTCCCATTGGTATCAAACCTTGTTGTTTTTGCTGCTGACGTTTAATTGCCGATTCATTCTCCACAGTCCATGGTTCTGGCGCTTTGGATGTGAAATCAATAAGTTGGGCTTCAGAAGACTTTGGAGGGGGAGGGGGAGGTTGATACTTTTGCAAGGGGATTTTATCATTCCCTCCATTTCCCCCAGCTCCATTATTAACATGACCTTTAGAAGGGCTTAATAGGTTAACAGAGGCCTCTGTTAAGCCTGTTCCACTGTTCTGTTGGTCAGGTTTGTAGCTGAAAATATAAAAAAGTCCATTGGTGACAGGGCTTCTACTTCGAAGTTAAGAGCGATTTAATCGCATTAGGAAGACTAAGCTCTATGAAAATATCGTTAAATAACTGTTCATTATGTGCTTGCTAACACACAGAACAATAAAGATCATTTAACACGCGTCTGAATTGCTAAAGTCACAAACTAACAGAAGGGGATGAAAATTAATAAAAACTCACATGTCAATGACTTTAAAAAGATATTCAATAAAACACAGCTGTTTTAACCTAGTCTAATGTAGATTTCATTTAAGGTAAAGGAGATGCTTTTAATAAGGATTTGAAAGGGGAATTGTGATTATTAAAATGGAAAAAAATTGCTGACTAAATTCTCTTTTTTATTACAAAATATCAAGCTGAAATATTTAAAATATTTGATTGAGTATGAAGACACTCACCCAACAACCATAATGGGACTCCTCTTAGCCCAACAGACAACCACAATTACGATGATCATGAGTACGATAGTTGTTACCATGATAACGGCTAGAGCAACCCAAATATCAGAGTTGTTGTTGCCAATCAGATCTGAAGAACGTGAAACATCAACCAATGTTCCATTAGAATTCTCATTCGGCAAAGCAAGCGTTTCATTAGAATAGGACAGTGACTTGTTGGCGCTTTTAAGTTTCTTTTCACCATTTTCACTGATGGCGGGAACAGAATTTTCTGTTAATGAAATCACGCGTAATAATTATCCCATAATGAGGCGATTTGAACTGGTTAACCGTAAAACATACCTGACTGTTGAGTTTCAAATATTTGCACAAAGCTCCAATCTCCAATGCGCTTGGCTTTTGGAGTATCATGAGTTATCGCTCGAACACAGGACACATAGCGACCATTCGGTTGTAGGTGTTCAAGCCTGACCCAAGTCACATTTACATCAATCTGTTTTGCCGTTGGAGAATCATCTTCAGGGCAGTTAGCTAGATTAGTTAAGACATATCATTTAATGGCAGTTCAGTAACGTCTTGTACGCAGCACATGACTCACCAAAGGCCGTATTGGCTGTTTTGGAGTCACCCAATTCAACGCTATCATACCGAAGCTGATATAGCAATGAAAAGCTTCCACTTGCACATGGCGAGGCTCTCTGTGTTGTTCGTCTACTTACAAAATTTCGATTAAAACCTTCAAATTCATCTCCAAGGGCGGAGCACGTTGGAGCATCCCATGCCATTATGGCCCAATCAGTTCCAGCAGACAATAGACGGAAGTTTAGCGGGATAAGTGAGTCCTTGGCATCTTAAGGAAAAATAAACTCAATTAAAAACACCCATTGTGAATAAGGTAGAAAAGGTTTAGAATCTCTAGCCCTTACGGGATAAAGGCTTTGTCTGAGCTGTGATCATCTCCACTGGTCCCTCACCATCCTCGGTCATGAGAGCAACTGATATCATATAGGTGGTTGAAGGCTCTAAATCAGTGGAATAATGCAAGTTTATCAACCTTTCAATGCACTCTCCAATTTACACAAGTAGCAACAACTTACCAAGTGATTCGATTGAGAAAGCTCGCTTTTCCAGACCGACTTCAGCTTTATTAGGACCGGGATAAATGTTTCCCCAATGGACAACCACTCCTTTAAAGCGATGGGGAGATGCTGATATTGGAGGAATCGACCAGAGAAGAAGTATATTTCGTTCTCTTGCAACATAGCGTAAGTTATGAACCTAATTAATGGAATAGTTCTAAAATAAATATTCACGTTGGAAACAAGTAAAATCCATAGGCGGTAAAACTGACCTTTAGAGGAGGTAGTGTAGCAACATCGGAATCCACGAAAAATTGAGAGTTATCGAAACCCTATGCATGGCATATGAATGAAAATTATTTAAAGATAAAGTGCAGAATTCGATTCTCAATGACCTACACTATCAACAGGGCCCACAGGGACTTCATTGTCGATTGGAGTTGATTTCAACGTTGTCGTGAAAGTAAGTGGCTGAGATTTCGGACCGATTCCCGCTCGAGTTGCTGCCGCGACTGTCAAGCTGTAATTCGTTCTAGGGTTCAAACCTAAATTAATTGAAAATAATGTTTAATGATAAAACAGGAAGTGTTTCACATGAATAATTAGTGCCAGCTGAAATTTACCAGTAAGTGTGTAATTGAGTCCATCAGCAACAGTGAGTTCCCTAGGAGCCAGCCATTCTGGCGAATTGAACTCCAGCTGGTAGGCAACGATTTCTCCATTCCTCTCTTTAACTGGTGGAGGTAGCCATGTAAAAGCAGCTCTTAGGGCACCAACAGCTGAAAGCATCACCTATTAGTGCAAAAATAAATTTGACCACCTTTCCCGTTTATTAAATGTCTTAATTAATGCAATGGGTAGATTATTGCCAGCAAAAAATAGAAAAAAAATTACAAAAAGCTAAGAGTGAGAATAACCCTTTAACTGGGCCAAAATGAAATCAGCTGAGATCGATCGATAGTATATTACCTTTGTAGGGGGAGAGGATGGTGGTCGTGAAAGAAGACGAGGTGAAGATGCAATTGTAGCCGGGTTTCCATCGACACCTGTTGCAGAGACGGCAATAATTCTCACACGGTAGAATGAATCAGGCTGAAGATCGGCAATCAAAAAGGAAGTAACCCTGCTTCCTCCGGGAACTCTATAAGACGTCCAGCGTCGCGATTCATTACTACTTGCGGCCAAATTAAGTAACATTATCCTAAAAGATTCAGATGGTACATGAGGTTAACATGGCATCGATGGTACGGGACATTTACTAGTGACTATTAAGTACTATACACATACCTGTAATAACCGATTTGAGTCTCAGCTCTATCAGATCGCTCTATATGAGGTATTTCCCATGAAACTTTCAAAGTTGCAAAGTCGGTTGAATCGGCCTTTGGATTTATTACAGGTGGCAAACGATAAACTAGAAGAACTATCAAGGGATGTAAACGACAAAATACCTTCAGTTTTAGTGGTAAATTTGATATCCGCGGAAGTTACTGAAGCCTGTCCATCGGAAGGACGATAAGAGAAGACAAACACCTCGTAGAGAGTATTTGGTCGAAGTTCTTCAAATGAAATTCGTGTTTCCTCGGTCATCATGGAGAATGTTCTGAAAGGAAGTAAAAAAGCAACGCATGTTTGGAGAGGATTATTTACATGTTAGAGAAAGCAAAATAATTTCAGTAAAGAGAAAGCTTACTTTTGAGAATTTTCTGGCTTTATCTCAATTCGATAATTGACTTGAACATCAGAGGCCTCTGGTGGATCCCATGACAATTGGGCGCTATCTTCTGTCACAGAAATTATTTCAAGGCCACTAGGTGGATTCGGGGGTGGGGGGGCTTGACGTTTCCGTCGAAATGAGTTATTCATCACAGAATCATTTCTAAAACAGAAGTGACCAGAATAAAGGCAAGAGGATTATTATACATGAGAAAATTTAATGAGACTAAATTAAGTTATCAGATTATACGAATAGGGGGAACAGATTGTGCAACAGGAACAGTTGTTATCCTTTTACCTAAAGCACAATAGGATTCGTATTGTAAAACTAATTCGATTGTTAAAAAGCCAAGGAAGATAGACAAGCAAACATTTTTCAAATAGGCGGAAAGAATTTTGAAATTGTTCCTTGTTGAATTAATGTAATAAAAGTAAGTTAAGTAAATAAATGTGCAAATAGATTATTGGTAACTTTTAAATAAGCTGAAAGCAAAAGTGAAACTAAGTAAAACAGTCTAAATAGAAAACAAGAATAAGATTTCTTTCAAATAGAGGGTTTTGCTTTTTCAGAAATATTTTCATTAAAAATATTTTAATAGGCACTGAAATTGAACATTCTATGCTATATTCTAAGTCTAAAATATGTCAAAAAGCCGTTTTAAAAAGATTTGTTTTCGACTTATATGTCGTTGGAGAGAATTGCTGCTAAAATGTAATAGCGTTATTGAAGCCTTAACCTACCACAAAGAAGCTTAAATCGAATTAATTTTCAACAGTTTTGAAAAAGTACAACGAATGCTACTTTTAACAGCAACTAACGACGAATGTAATAAAATAATTAAAATAAAAAAGTAACGTTTATTTAAATTATAAATAAATTTTGTTTTAAGTGTTGCTTTGGTGTAACGGAGGTTTAAATTCCATTCATTAAAACAAAATAGACAAGTAAGTTCGATTGAACTGCACTTATAAATGGCAAAATAATCCCGAATAAAACAAAGTCTTCTTCATTTCGCAAAAATATTCCAAAATGCAAAATTAGGCATTGCAAAAGTCAGCATCACTAATTAAAAGCGAGCAATATATGAGGAATTCTATTTGATCACCTCGACTTCTTCTTTCCTGGTTCCAATAAAATGTTTTGAATTATTACACTGTCAAGGTGCCATTTTCGATAATTGATTAGTTATATTCGGTATATTAGTTTAAAAGGTAAATATAAAGAATATTGAATGGTTTAATAGATTAATTTCATTTGCAAGATATCATAATTTTAGTAATTTGTAGTGAACAACATAATTAGATTTGGCATATAATCTGCCTCAACTAAAGAATGGTGGTTTGATTTAAAGCAATTAATACAATATATCCCTTTTCAATTTCATAAAAATTGTATACTTTCGAATACATAGTTGTTATATTGCATTGCGTGCTGGCAATGCATGGGTAAGCGACCTACTCTTCGATTAAACTAGTGGAAGAGACAACCACAGGGACCAACTTGGCTTAATGAAGAGAATTCGAGTTTACCATTAAGGAGAGTCCCTGATGCTGCCCGCTCTTATTGAAGAGTTTGAGATAAGTAATTAGATCTATTAGTTGGGTTTAACATATTGATTATCCAATGCAAACGCAATGCAACCAGATTTTTCGTTTGAACAACAGACTCACTTAGCCCACAATCAACAGTCTAGACGAGGTCGCGTCGATACCACACGCGACTACACACACAGAGAGAGAGAGAGACTGAAAAGATATCCTCCAACACAATATCACCGCATTATTGATAATTAACACAAGGGGGATTTTACTTAGCGCAGGAGAAAATGCACGTCAAGATGGTGTGTGGTCTTTGTTACGATACTGTACTTTCAATTTGGCGCATCCTGTTCCACTGTGAACTGAAGTGAGCACAATGATCGACATTCGAGCTGATAGATATAGTTTGTAAGCTGGGATATACAAGTATATACGGCATATATATATATATTCCATTCTTGACAAACAAACTAGGATAAAAGGATAAGATTTCAGCCGAAAACTTCAAGTAATTAATTCAGAAAGATTTGTAAAAGTTCGCTTTATAAAATAGGATTGAAGAAAGAAAATTGTTTGCCTTGCTGATATAGCTATGTATACACAAAAAGAGCTAAGAGCAGGAAAGGGCTTAAATCAGAGGGAAAAAATGTGAACATTTTCCCAATAGAGCGAATGAGGCTTTGCCTTCCGGTTAAAACTTTGGGCGGATAGCGAGATGATTATTTTAAAGTCTGCTTATAAAACCAGGAAGAAGAAGCATTGAAATCAGGAAATGAATTCCCTTCTAAGATATGCCCTTTGATAGAATAGATAATTTAGAAAAATGAACTAGCCAGATATTCAACCAAATTCAATCCTACTGGACTGTGCCCAAATATGTGCAATATTGTTGATATACAAGTTTGAAAAGATTATGCTTTCCAAGCTTCGCCTCTGGAAGAACCTAAAAGAAATTTATATTATTTTTAGTTTTGGTGAAAGGAAAATGACAAGTTCGACAGAAATCATAGCAAATAAGATGTTTGAACAATGTTAAAAAATGGAACTAAATAGCCAAATTTAAATTTTTCGAAAACATGTTGTTTCACCTCATACATTATAGCCTACCTAATGCAGAAAGATGGATACCATAAATACGGAGAGAATATCAAGAATAAATCCAAAAGACGGAAATGTTTTACTTTACTATGAGAGTTAAGGAATGCGTGATAAGAATTTTGTCGTTATTTCAAAGTTTCCTCTGAAGAGGCTCGCATTAAATTTTTTAGTCTAGATTTAAATAGAAATCGTGATACATGGCTCTAAGAGTACACAAAATAATTTTGCGAATCACTCGCGCCTTAATAATAATTTTGCTCAAATTTACTTTGGGGGAGGGGGGGG